ATTCCCACCCTCTGTCTTCTGTTCTTTAACCAGTTAGTGATCCAGAAAAAGACCCTCCTCCTTTTATTTTAGGACTGTTTATATTGCTCAGGAGGCTTTGGTGAGGGAGTTTGTCAAAAGCCTTTTGGAAACCCAAGTGAACAATGTCTACTTGATTGTCCCTGTCCACGTGTGTATTGGCACTCTCAAAGAACTCCAATAGGTGAGATAGGACTCTCCCTCACTGAAGCCATGCTGACCTTTCCCCAGCAAGGCTTGTCCCTCCATGTGCTTACTAAGTCTATCTTTAGCAGCACTTTCAAGCATTTTACCCAGAACAGATGTTAAGCTAACTGGCCTGTAATTTCCCGGAACACCCCCAGATCCCTTTTGTAAAATTGGTGTTACATTGGCCATTCTCCAATCCACTGGTGTTTGTGCTGACTATAGGGACAAAATAAATATTTTGGTAAGAGGGTCAGCAATTTCATGCTTGTGTTCTTTGATATCCCTGGGATGGATACCATCTGGACCTGGTGACTTGCCCACTTTTTCTGGCATTCTCAAAGTCTCTCCCCACATTAAGGTGTACATCAAAGAGGGGAAAAATACAACAATAATGAAACACAAATGTCCCAGCTCCCAAAGCACTGTGCATCATTTCTGGGCATGTAGTCAATTAGTAGTTTATCTCACTATTCATGCTGCCTGCTGAGGGGAAGCTGCCTGATACTGCCATTTTCAAACCATTCAAGAAGCCATCCTGGTTTCTTTCATGTGCCAGGTGTCCATGAGTCCCTGTTCAGGGTCCCTTCTTGTTGCTTGTCATGTCCTCTGAATCCTGCAAGGCTGGATTCATTGGCAAGAGCCCCATGTGTTCTGGATGTGTTGTTAACCTTGCCTACAACCCACCCTCACAATATTGACATGAGAGCAGGGTTCAGATTATGGAATGGGCACCTGGCACATAGCACAAACCACTCTGGCTGTGGCAACAGCTGAAACTGAACAATTGAACCTGAAAGAAGTAACTTAGTCATTGAAACATAGAAACAGAGTGAGTCAGAAGGGGTCTCCCAGGCCATCTAGTCTGACCCCCAGCTCCAGCCAGTCACCATGTGCATGTCCAGCCTATATGCCCACCATGTGCATGTCTAGCCATTGAGAAACAGTGAAGCAAACAACCAAGCCATGAAGCCTGTTTGAGAGAATGTGGAGGGGAGAAAAAGGTAATTGGTTTGAAAGAAAGTTTGCTACTTCCCATCTCATCCTCCCAGTAGTTTTATGAGACAGGGGCTTGTAGGGCAACATGAAGTTAGAGAGGAGCAAACTAGTGAACTTGTAGTTATAAGCATGCAGGCGTAATAGGTTGATGAATATTAACTCACCCACCTTGAATAGACAATGGGCTAATTATAATGCACATGTGATGTATGTAGATGTATGTAGTGAGATGAGATGGGAGATATGAAGTAGGCAGATGGAAAGGCTGTAACCTCCTAGTACCTTACCCAAAGAGGGAAACGGGGAGGACTGTGGTGGATTGGTTGAAAGGGGATGTTTTGTGTGTTTGTACTTTGGAGAGATTCTGACAGAGAAGGCTCTCCCTGTCTATTGCAATTAATGAAGGAATCACCTCACGCTGATGGTAGACTTGGTTATTTAACTTGAGAAATATTTTCGCAGCTTTTTTGCATAACAAACCTATGTAGCAGCAGCTGTCCGCGATATCAGGCAGGGGTCCCTCCCAACGCAACCTGGAGATGCTTGGAATTGAACTTTGGTGTGCGGGGGGAGGGCGGGACGAAGGGGTCTGCCAACTTTTCCTCAGATGGCTTCAGCCTTGTTTCTCTGCCTCCTTCTCCGCTCATTTGCTCTTACTCCTCAACGATCAGCTGCTGTCCTTTGTTGTACTTCTCAGTTCTTCGACCGTCCCCCTCCCTCCCTTCCACATTCCATGGCCCTTCCTCCACCAAGTGCCCTTAACCAGAAGGTCCTTCCCATGAATGACACCCTCCAGATGGGTTGAACCACAACCTCCATCAGCATGGCCAGTGGGCAGGGATGCTGGGAGTTGGAGTCCAAGACGTCAGGCGGCTATCAGGTCGGAGAAGGCTGCGCTACACGTCCAAGGGTGCTTTTTACTGAGTCTGCCTTCCCTCGGTCGGCGCCACCGGTCACGTCCTTCTAGCGCCAGAAGACCGTCTTCGCGAGGACCCGTAAACCCGTGGTGAGGCGATTGCTTTGCTTGCAAACGCCGGGGGTTTGATGAGGAGCTGCAGCCCCAAACCCACCGTCGGCCAGGACGGGCCACCCTCTCCCTTCGAACGGGGCGTGGGAAAGAACCGCGACTGGGGACGGCAGCGGAAGTCCTCGTCCTCCTCCTCCTCCTCCGAGGGGCCAGAAACCCGATCGAGGCCTGGCTGACTCAGCGGCCCGGTCCCACTGCAGAGTCCGGGCTGCGCTCCAACTTCGATGGGGCGGGTGGCCGTTACCCCTCCCCCGTCCGGCCCTCTTCCGACTACAAGTCCCAGCAGCATCTCGTGCTTGGCAGGCAGCGAGGGACGGAGGCATCCAAGGAATTCGCTTCCCTTCGAGAGCTCCTCGGTGGAGTCGGCTTGAGCCGCGCTCTTGCATGGCGGGCCGCAGAACGGTGTCGCCCGCCGAGCGATGGCGCAGCCGCTGCTCCGGAAAACTTTCTCCCGGCTCAGGGGCAAAGAGCGCCTCGGGCGCAAAAAGGCGGCGCAGCGCAAAGAGCCAGGTAGGGCCCGAGGGAGCACGACGAGCGAGCGGAACGCGCGGGGATCGCCCCCCTCCCATGTCCACACCCAGGGACACCCTGTTGCGCCTGCAGGAGTTGTGGGGACAGGCAGGCATCTCCGGCATTTCCTCCGCCCTTGCTTCTAAATCAGGCGAAGGGAACCGAAGGGAAGGGACTGCTGGGGATGGACATGCAGCAAATTCCGTCTTTCAGTGGAAAGCCCGCGGTACTGGCTATGCTCAGCCCCACTGTGCGTGTGCCAGTTGCGGGCACTTCCCCAAACAGCAGCACTTCTGCCTGCCTAGCCCTTGAGGCCCCTGGGCAGCAGCAGGGTGGTCATCCGATGGTCGTCGGAGCTTTGGCACTTTCTTGCCGCGCTGTGTGGCTTGCTACAGTCCTGCCTGGGGCCCTGGGGGCTGCAGCTCTCAGAGTAAAACTGAGGTGGCTGGCACAGGGGAGGCAGCAGCTTCGCGGCCCACAAGATGCCAACAAGGAGTGGGGTCACAGTTTGTAGCGCAACAAGTCAGCCAGATGGACAGAGATGCTCTTCAGACTGCTTGTTTAGGATTCTTGCCCTGAAGCATCCTCTCTAGCCTAGCCTTCCCCAGTCTGGCGCCATCCATGTGTTGAACTGTAACCCGCATCATCTCCAGTCAGCAGCCCATGCAGTCTGGGAGTGATGGGGGTTGCATTCCATCACATCTGACTGGCATCTGCAAGGTACCCAAGGAAAGCTGCCCCAACCCAAGGGCAGAGCCCTGTGGCCCTGGTCAAGGTGGGTGTAACATGCTGTAGCCAGCGAGGAGGAGTGAGTCATGAAGCCTTTGACCATGGGAAGCCACAACAGGGTAGCCCTCAAGTGCCAGGTGCCAGTTTGTGGCTAACCCAACGGGTGCTTCAATCACCACATAGGTGGCGTGTGGGTCCATCCAACAGAATCCATCATTCTACCTCCCGCAGCCAAAGCTCGCAGAGCCATGTTTGTGGCAGCTCAGCAAAAGCAGGTTGCAGCACGTGGCAACAGATCCTCACACAGCTTTGTAAGAGAACCATTAAGGCACCTGAACACTGGAAGGTCCAGCTGGTGTTTCCTCCAGTGCAATTGTATGACATGCAAAAAACTTCGTACAGTGTTGCTCCACCATTCAGTCCCTCCTTAAAAATATTCACAACTGACATGAGTTGCACTGCAGTAGTTGTCAAGTAGTCTTGCTTTGGGAGGCCTGCTTTTGTTCAGGCAGGCCTGCTGGGAAAAAATCCTTGATATTAACGTCTTCTTCTTCTCTTCTTCTTCTTACTACAATAATAGTAGCATCAGTGGAATCTCTTCCTTGGTAGGTGATTTTGCATCTGGGAACTGGTATAAGTGATAGGTAGCAAGCATTATGGAAAGAAGGAAAGTATTCAAATATTCAGTGAAACAAACATGCCTATTAAAATATGTCAGAAAATGAGTTTGTTCAAAACTGAGACCATTTTGAAGCTTCTTCTAGTGAGAACCTAATTCCCCCTATGTAGGGTGGCAGAGTTGCCCTTCCCTCTTCTTTGCTCCCAGGCATTCTGCTGTGTGGTTTGCACCTTCATTCCTGAGAGCTGTGCCCTGATCAATGGGGCTTTTCGTGTGCTGAGTTACTTGGGGACCTACAAAGGGAGCTCTGTGTCTTGGCCAGGGAGGGGACTGTACAGTAAACAACAGGAAATCCAACTTGGCACCAGGTCTGAGCAGCTGGGAGCTTGGGAGGGACCTCCCAGCCTCAGCTGCATTGCAGGCCTTGGCTGCATGTCTTCAGGCTGAGCTCAGCATTGATGGAGCCCCTGCAGAACCCCTCCTGCCATTTCTACCCAGCATTTTCTCCTTCCTTCCCTTAGACACTGTTCTCACTAAAAGCTTCAGTAGGTTCCTTAGTTCAGGCATATTTGCAGTCCTAAAAGAACTGCAAAGCTCAACTCAGCAAGACACCCCAGATTCCGTCTTCAAGGCCAGGATGAAATATGATGGCAAAAGAAGGGAGTGCCTTTGCACACGTGGAGAATGCTTGCCACGCAACGGGGACTCGAGTTGAGGGCTTATAGTTCCAATACAGCAATTTTCAGGCACCCTGAAGCCATGGCAGCCCATGCTTTGGAATGAGCATTGGTTGGGATGTACTGATGACAACAAAGTCCATATAGCCCTCTTAGGCAATGGGTGTCATACCTACAGCAGTGGCAGACAAGCTTCCATCATGCCAAAGAACTCAGACCAATACCAGCAGTGGAAATGAGCACCTGAGCCCAAGTGCTCCTTCATCTGAAAGTCAGCTCATGGGCTCCATTGGTCTGGTTAGTGATGAACCTTCTATTGGCCAAGTGAATTGGTCTCCAGTATCAATCTGTCCCTGGTCTGCTTCGCTCTCATTGCAGGATTGGGTCATACTTGTGTCTTCCTCTGGCAAAGACCCTATGGGGCTACAGTGGTTCCTGCTCACCTGGGCTCATTGGAGCCTCCAAAAGCAGGCAGATAATTTCTACGCTTCCTTTGCAGCCTTAGGCTGCAGCTTCATAATGCACCTGACTTCAGTAAAGGGGTACAAGAAGCATCTGTGTGCTGAATCCCAGAGGGCTGGACAAAGAACCAATCTGTAAGCAACATGAACATTCCTAACTGGTGGAGGCAATAGAAATGAGAATGGGTACTTTTCAATGGGAGATGGATGGCTCCTGTACTGAAAGACCTCACTCTGATTTCAAAAGCCCTATACATACAGCAATTTGGTCCTCTAGGAAGAATGTTCTGTCCCTTTCCGGGCCTCTCACTGGGTGGGAAAGATGATGGGGAGAGGGAAAACAGGGTGGCACAAAGAGAAAAAGGTTGGCCTGCCCCTTTTGGTTCTGGCCCTGTCTACTGTTGGCTTTCTCTCTTCCAGCCGATAATGTATGGCCTCCAACAGATTACCTGCAACAGAAAAGAGTTGTCCTCCATTGCCATAGAGAGTACTTCCTGGGGAAACCCACCCCCAGTTTCTGAATCATAATTATATCAGGACCATACCAGCATTTGATAGGCCCACTCTAGCCCTGTGACATTTGTACAGAGATTCCCTTGTCTGGACTCTCTCTCTCTCTCCCTCTCTCTCTCTCTCTCTCTCTCTCTCTCTCTCTCTCTCTCTCTCTCTCTCACACACACACACACACACACACACACACACACACACACACACACACACACACTATATTTTGTATATTTTTTCTTGTAGCATTTGAATATTTTAAGTTGTCTCTTATCCATTTCTGGGCATTTGTTGCTCTTTAATATTTATCCCCACTCTGAAGAGTAAAGTCACCCATTATGGATCATCTTCAAGGAATTAGATGTCTCCAACCGGATGCTCATCAGCCCCAGCTGGCTTTTTCACAGATGCTAGTTTCCCCCAAATTATACTTTGCTGGCCCCAGACTGCCTGTCAAACCACATTTGGTTTCTAGAACCTTTCAGCTCAATACCATTGGTAGCCACTGACTCCTTCCCAGCACACCCTGAAAGCAGCCTATGATATTTACAACCTTTGGGTCAAGCAGACAAATCAGTTTGTGGCTGGTCAGAATGGCTATGATGATGTTCTTCCATTGTTTTCAATGAGGACCTTGACATCTAACGGGTTGTGAGCTGTCCACAGTGTGTCTGCAGGTGGCTGATAAGACCGATACGGGCATGGTGTGTTCTGCCACATGTCAGGCAGACATCTATGGGCACCACTGTTGCAACATTCGCAACTCTGGCTTTACGGAGCGCTCGCCTCTCTTGTGCTATGGTTGTCCTTCCGGCTTCAGATGTTTGGCAGCCTTGGTGGATCAGTGTGCCACCTTGTGTGCCACGGTCTTGTGCCAGGGTCTCCCAGGAGGCGGTGTCGATAACCAGGGACTTGAGAGAGGCTTTCAGTGTGTCTTTGTCTCACTTCCTTTGTCCCCCGTGCGATCGCTTTCCTTGAGACAGCTTACCATAGAAAAGCTGTTTGGGGATGCAGTGGTCTGGCATCCTTGCAACATGGCCTGCCCAGCGTGTCTGGGCTTTCATCAGCAGGGCGTGAACTGATGGCAGGCCTGCTCTGGAGAGGACTTCTGTGTCTGGCACCTCGTCCTGCCACCGGATCCTCAGAAGCCTGCGGAGGCAAGTCGTGTGGAAGCAGTTCTGTTGCCTAGCGTGCCTCCTGTATACAGTCCAAGTCTCACTGGCATACATCAGGGTAGTTAGCACCACTGCTCGGTAGACTTTAAGCGTTGTAGCAAGGCTTATTCCATGGCGGTCCCACACTTTGGTCAGCAGTCTGCCGAATGCAGAGCTTGCCTTGGCGATTCTGCAGTTGACCTCGGTCAGAATGGCTATACTTGCCCACTGAAGGTGGTATGAACCAAGTGAAGCATATTTTGGGCCAGGATACAACTCTTGTGTCACATGTTATATAACTGAGCACAGATACAGAAGCAGTCATGTGTGCATAAACCCCACTTGTGCTGTTCCCTCTCTAAAAAGGGTGCATAGTTTGTGTCCGGTTGTACATGTCGCACCAGAGGTACCAGTGTGAGCCTGAGACTTTCTCCCATGTAGGTCCTACACATAGGGAACCCAGTGTAAGTTCTAATGATGAAATCCCTCAAAGCCTGTCACCTCACCTAAGGCACACTCCCAAACTGTGAGGGAAACTTTGCAGGGAGTGCTCCTGTTTTCTCAAGGCCACTTTCCATGCTGGGTCCCAGATTTTCTACAGTGCTACCACCAGCATGGTGCTCAGACCTCCTTTCATGTGTTCCTGAAAGGCTCCACTAGACCTATCCTACCTGTTGTGCTTTCCCTGCTCCTCCAGCTCTAGTCCCTGAGGAAGTCAGAGGAACAGCAGTTCGCGCACAGCTACAGGATGGACCTGGGGAAAGTGACAGCCAGTGAAAAATGCTGGACACTTCCCAGCTTTCTACCTGGATGTGTTTTATTGCTTTTGAACATATTGGATTCTAGCATTGTTTAGTATCAAATCTCTGGTAGGTTCCTGTCAAAAAGACCTTCTCCTCCTGCTTCTTGTGAGAGGTCTTCTTGTGCCTGCGACTTGCTTTTGGTGGGTGGCTCCTTGGATGGGAGGATATTTGTAAAATCTTTTCTTGAAGAGATTAAACAGGAACTGCTCTGGGCCAACTGAGAAAGCCAGACCATATGAGGTCATACTAGCATCAGACCACATTGATCGTGTGGCCTCAGCAAACCTTGCATGCCATAGCACAAGCATGTGACTGGATGTGGGAGAGACCCAGAGCTTATCCAGACCACCTGGTATTTCAGACAGGATAGCAGATACCTGCACCTTCTCTAAGAGCCACCTTTGTCAGTTTCCCAAGGAAAGAGGCGCCATAACCTTCCATTTCTAGGCAGTTATCAAGACTTTGCTAATATCTCCTCCCCATCCCCGCCCCCACAGCATTATATACTAACCTGACTTTCCTAACCATACCTTTAAAAATGTCAGGACAGACCCATATTTTGGTTTCTGCTTCCCACAGATCCTCCACCAGCTGCTTCAGAGTCTGTCTTGGAGTCAGAACTGTTGGAGCCCCTCTCACTGGATAATGGATGCAGGAAAAGTGCTGCCATCACTGTGTCGAGGAAGCAAACTGGGGCCAAGTTCATGTGGGGCAGCCAGGAAGAACCTCACAACAGGAAGCTATGCCAGAGCAGCCTGAGTACAGCAGAGGGATCTGCTGACCTGGATGGAGGGCTGTTTCCAGAGAGCTTGCCATGTGCTGGCTTGATGGGAGCAGCTGAATGCTCCCATCAAGCCAACTGCTCTGGGGTTTGCAATTCCAGCTTTAGCACCAAGTGCAGCAGCCAGGGTGCCTACCTGCAGAGTCTGGAAAGAAGCAGCCGCCACTGGGTACTCTCTTCAGGAAAGACCCAAGGAGCAGAAGAGCCAGTAGCTTGCTCCAGGGCTGAGCTGAAGGAAGCCAAAGTGCTGTGCAGCACTGATGGAGAGATCTGGTACAACCCTATCCCTGAGGATGAAGACCTGTGCATTCCCAGCCTTGAAAGGAGATGGGGCAGCCATGCTGAGGATAGGGGCAAGAAAGGGAAGCCGAGGGATGTTAAAGCTGCTCAGGAGTGTGTCCACCCTGGCTCCTTGCAGCCAGCAGCCAGTGATGACTTGTGGATGTTGCCCAATCAAGCCAGGCCTGCTAAGCAGGCTGAGGAGCTAAGCAGCCTGACCCAGCCCTGTGGTGAGAGTCATTTCCTCTTATATGGTTTGCACATCTTCAGCAGCATCACCACCCTTCCTCGCTCTGCCAAGGCCTATTCCCTTCACATGAACACTGTGCCTTCCTCCTCTGCCCCCCCCCCCCGCACCCATGGCTTTTCCCCTTCCCAGTCATTAGGAAATCTTTGCCCCCTGGGCAGTTACAATGCAGTGAGGCCTCAAATGAATGTCACTCATTGCTGGGTTGCACATATCTGGCATCTGTGAAATCATGCACAGCCTCTTGTGACATATGCATTCCTTCTACAGTCTGGCTGCTGTTCACATCTTGCAGTACGTACTGCATACAGTTAAAGTCAATTTGTTTTAACTGGCTGTTTTTAGTCTGCTTGCTTGCTTATAACTGCCTGTAAAATAACTGCCTGTAAAAAGGAAGTGATCAGATACTGTGCTGTGTAACATGTGCGTATTAACACTGAGTGTTTGTTTTTAGTTACAGCAGCCTCTTCTCCCCAGCCCTGTGGAAGCACCCATTCTCAGTTCATGGGAATTTCCATTCTGGGCAAGTTACTGGGGCACAGTCTGCCTGGGATTTCGTTTCACGAGCCTTGTGAAAGGGATTGGAGCTGTGGAAGAGGGCAGTCCTTGTCCTCTCAACAGGATTTTCTTTGCTGAGCCATCCCAGCAGATTGTGCAAATGAGGGCTTGTAACACCTCTGGAATGCAAGACAACTAGCCACACACTCATGGATATCTTGATTTGACGCCTCTCTTCTTCCTTTCTTGAAAGCATTAATTTTGAGTGATATCGGGCTGTAGAAATTCCCTGCTTGTTCAGTCACTCATCATACTAGTTCGGTTTTTCAGCCTTGAGTTTTTGTGTAATTCATATTGTGTTTAAGTCACAGTTAGTGATTAAGGGCACAATTCTGTTGATGTTTTGTCCCATCCCACCCTTGCCCACAGCTCCTTATAATGTTGAGCATTTTTCTCTGTAAATGTGTGTTGGGTTTTCTTTAAATGAAATTTCATGTGATAACCATGACATCCACAAGGAGAGACAGGAGGAATGTCACACTGGATAAAATGTCCTGTGGTTAGACTGTTTTACTAGTCAGAGTGATTCCCCCAACAGCAGTGGGGAATCAGTGGGATGGCGGCCAGTGATGAGAGGTGTCCCCCAGGGTTCTGTCCTGGGACCAATCCTGTTCAATCTTTTCATCAGTGACCTGGAAGAGGGGGTAACCAGTCTGCTGATGAAATTCACAGACAATACTAATATGGGGGAGGTGGTCACAACTGAGGAATAGGTACCCTGGATCCAGAGGGATC